GCTCGCTTTTGCCAACAATATACTGTCAACTCTGGATTTTTGCCAATCCAGTAGGTAAGAGAAAGTGGTATCTCAGCGGGATTTTTATCATTGCAATTAAGGTATATAGATATGTAAAACAAGAGCAATCTGAGCCCTCATATTTGGGCAACAGAACATAGAGCTTGCCCTCATTTTAGTGACTTGATGGCAACCACCCCCCCATTGGGGAGAAACAAATTCTTAGAAGCTCTTCCGGGGTTCCTGGACCTGCGCAGTTGACCAGCAGGAGTGCCAGAGCCTCCTTTAATCTCCAAAGTCCAACCTGCCTGCCGAGGCTGAACACTACACAAGCAGGTGGGAGTATCTGTCTCCCGCATTGGGCATTTTCGGGCATTTATCTATCTAAGGAAACTCCATCTTCCTTGACCTCTGGGGGATCCTTTTCTTTCAATCTCCTTAGCTGCTCTAGGAATTCAAATTATGTTAAAAAGCTGCATAAAAGGAAATTTCTCAAATCATACTCCCTCCCCAGCAAATTCTGGCATTCTGGTAAGGACCTGACTGAAGGGACAGTGTTACCCAGTGGTTGGGGCTGTGGCTGTGGCCCCAAGTTGCCAGATTCCAGTTAAGATTCCTCCACTCACTAACTGTGAGCAACCTCATTGGGCCTCACCTAGCCCCACCTGGCCTCGTTGGGTCTCACCTAGCCTCACCTCTCTGGGTCTCAGCACCCTCCTCTGACAAGTGGGATGACAATAGCAGCTATTTCACAGGAAGCTGTGAAGAGTAAATGTATCCATTTATGCACGTAGCTGCAGTCCAGTTCTGGCACAGAGCAATCCTTGAGCAGAGTGAGGTCACACGGTGATGATGACGAAAATGGCTGAAGTGGTGGTGATTTGTGTTGGGAACGAGAGTGCTGTGATGATGAAGATTAGGAGTAGACTGAGCCCTCCCACTTACAACCTTGAACCTTGTGACCTTGAACAAACAGCTCAGTCATTCCCTTCAGTGTGTTTGTTTCTCATGTCTTCCTTGCGTTGTACGGGTGGGAACAGTACTCTCCATCTGAAGCAGAAATCAGCTAAGTGTAGCCTGAAGTGCAGCCTGGGCCACTGCCCATGTTGGTGAATAAACTTTTATTAGAACTTTTATTGGAACTCCATAGTGCACTAGAAATCTTATGGTGTTATGGCCCGAGGTCCTGTGAAATAAAAGTATTATCTGGCCCTTTCCATCCAAAGTTCAGTCTCCTGACTAAGAGGCGTGGTTGTGCGGACAGGAGATGATGCCTGTGTAAAGCCTGGCACACAGTAGGAGTGCAGCACGTGGAGTTGCAGCGGCCACGAACTCAGCACAGGATCTTACCTCCACCCTGCCTCTCTCTCTCTGGCCCCAAAGGAAAAATAGAGGGGTAATTATAATATGAATAGTTTAATTAGAAATCTCACCAAGTTCTGTTTCGCATCTGTATTTTTACCATGTGCCATGCATTTCCATGTACTCCGAGTAGTGCGCATGCTTACTAGCCTGCAGTGACAGACATGAAACTGGTATCCAGTAGGCTGTGCTGCATGGTTTAAGGCTCTTTTTTTTCTCTTTAAAGATTTGTTTATTTATGCATACAAGAGCTGGGGTACAGGCCAGAGAAGCGGGGGGAGGGGCGGGTAACACGATTCACTCAAGACAAAGTGGGGAGCAGAACAAGTAACTTACTGAAGCACACTGCTGAGGGGAGCAGCGGGCAGGTCAGGAGAGGTCTGCCGCGCCATGTGGGTCAGCTCCCTGGTGAGGGATCAAACTCCTGCTGCAGTGGCTGCCAGTAGCTTCATAGTGCTGTGTTTAGCCCCTTGCACCACCAATGAGGGCCCCTTCAGGCTCTTTTTTAAGGATAATTTTGATGCTGCTTTTCTCTTGCCTGATGACTTCAAGAAGCTAACTTCTAGGAAGAGGCAACTCGCCTCTAAATGGCAAGGAGGAATGTTACTATCTGCATCTTAAGCAAAGTAAAACCAGTGTCAGAATCTTCTAATCATTGAAAATAAATCCTAAGTGCTGATAAAATCTCTCTGAAATCAAAAATGGAAGAACAGTATTACAAAAACTCAGCGCACGCCTTTAGTTTCTTCCTTTCTCCCCAGGCACAGGTGAGGGGCACACGTGCCATTTACATTTGGCCTTATTTATGGTCTCGTGGCAGCAGCTGGCAGGTCACCTTGCAAAATACAAAGAAACACTCCCTTCATTTTGCAAGCACCCCACACTGATAGGAACATCCCCTCCTGCACGCTCCTCCCTGGATCATGAGAATCACAGGAGATACAGGCAGGAAGGTTCTGGGGACGCAGAGCAATCTGGCTCCCTCTGTCCTTGGCAAGTAGCAGCCAGCCCCCGCTCCAGCTGCCTGGAGGGGAGAGGGCTCGGGGTGAGGACAGGAGCATCGCTAACAAATGTACGTAATTAGAGCAAATTATCTTCATTGGAAAATAAGCAAATTATTTTCCAACTTAATGAGTAAAGAAGCTCCTAATTAACTCCAGTGGAGATTTGCTTTCAGATTTTAGTAGTGAAGCTTTGTGGGTTTTGTATTAATATTTTGGTTTTATGGCCTACCTTCATTATTTATTTTTTATTTTTTTTTTTAATTGTCGTAACAGAATTTTAGAGACAGAGCAAATCCAGAAGTGGTTGAGCTTAACTCTCACTTGGGGTAGTGTTCACTGAGTCGAACCCCTAGGGGTGTGTCTGGTGACCTCTGGGGTCTGCCATGTGCTCCCCGACTCACTCGGCTTCCCTTCACCCGACCCTAGCTTAGTCTGCTTGGGGCTGCTGGCTCTTCCTGGCCTCAGCATTGCTACCACCTCTGGCACGTCCCGTCTGACAGCAGCCCCGGCCTGCAACCCGCTCTATCCCCTCTCAGCTCCTGGCTGTATGGCGTGGCCTGCTGCCTAGTGTGCAGCCTGTCTCTAGGTCCTACACTGGACTCCTCAACTGGCAGCCAGAGCCAGATGGGCAAGGGCTTCTGAGAGCTGCCCACCCGAGCTCCTGCCTCAGAGCATCAGGGATCAGGAGGGCAGAAGAAAATGGGCCCGACAAACCAAGATAATCTAATCCCTAAATCCTGGCTCTTTCATTTTTTAAATTAATAAAATTTATTTATTTATTTTAAAGATTTATTTGTTTATGCATACATAACTGGGGTGCAGGCCAGAGGTACAAGGGGTGAGAGGATTCACCATAGACAGAGTGGGGAGCAGAACAGGCAGACTGATAAGTACACTGCTGAGGGGGACAGCGGGCGGGTCAGGAGAGGTCTGCCGCGCCATGTGGGTCACCTCCAGGGCGGGGATTGAACTCATGCTGCAGGGGATAGCTTTATAGTGCTGCGCTTTAACCCGCTGCGCCACCAGGGAGGGCCCAATAAACTTTATTTGTAAGAGTAGTTTTAGGTGCATAGCAGAAAGTACAGAGGCTGCATGTACCTCCCCATTTGTGGGGAGCCCGGGAGCACGGGCTGGGTTCCTTGTCCTGGGGGGAAAGAAGACACACACATGCACCACGGAGTTGGCCACTTGGGTGTCTAAGGCAGGAGGCTACACACCAGTTCACTCTGCCTTGGCTTTCTCTGCTAGCCTGGCGAGGCCCTCACCGTCACCATCACCGCCACACGTCACCTGTCACACGTCACGTGTGGAGATAGCCCTGCTCTGCACCCTTACCCTCTCTGTCTCGGAACCACTTCCAAGCCCTGATTGGCCGAGGTCAGTCAGGGGCCGTTCCCAGGGCTGCAGCCTGACGTGGTCAGAGGATGCATGGTTTTGCGTGGGGATGGGGTTGGGGGTGCTGGGGGTGGTGGTGGAGGGGGTGGGATGTACTCCGCCTGCGTGAGGAGAAAGTAAGGGCAGCAGGCCCTTGAAGGTGTTGTGAGCTCAGCAGCTGCCTGCCCTGCACAATTCCGGGTCTCCTGTCCATCCTTCAGCTCTCCCTTGCAGAGTCCCAAAGTTTGACTGTTGCAAGGAGCACAGCCCAAGGCGAATGAATGCCTTTCCCCTGCAGCACCCCGTCTCCCGGCCCTCATTAGTCTTCTCCAAGCCTTTTTGCTCCCGCCCTCCGGAGAGCCTGGTCGTGGCTTGTCACCGCAGCCCCCTGGGAGTGAAGTTGGACGATTTGGGAGCCGGACAGTGTGCTCTGACTCCCATTTTGTATTAGAAAACAAGATGACCCATTCATTTTCCATCAAGGCATCCTTTGATGATGGTCACTTCCGTGAAAGTTGTGGAAACGGCCTCTGGAATAGCATATTTAAACATGTGGGTGTCGATCTGTTGAATTTATGCATTCCTTGAAATGTTGGTCTTGTAGTTTTCCGGGAAAGCAACAGTTCTCCCTGAAAGTGGCCATTCTGTGAAACGCAGGTGATTACCACTAACTCACATCTGTGCCGTCACCTCGGTGCTGAGCGTGGGGCTTGGTGTGTGGCGTGTGGGCGCGCACGCCTCAAAGGCGGGGTGTCTGTGCAGAGTGGAAGGCAGTTTTGTGGAAGGCATTTTCTGTAATTCCAAACAATTTAATAAAAACGGAATTTGACTGGGAAAACTACAGTCTGTCAGGCCTTGCGGAGTGCAGATAATGTTCCAGATTAAAGAGCCAAGGCTTTGTTCATGACAGTCAAATAACGTGAGTGTGCGAATTACTGTTTCCCCGACATCCATCTAGTTCAAGAGTATGCCATTTCCCTATTATAATAATAGGCTTCATTTTCTTAAAATCGTTTGATTATGATTGGTCCTTTCTATTCAGTTTGCAAATAAAAAGCTTTTCTGGCCATACACTAGTTGTTTCAAAGCCGCCTCATTCTCTGTTTCTGCTTCCGAATGGAACAGGTCAGACCCTGCGGAAGGCCGAGAGGAGCCAGTCCTGCTTGCGGGAGAAGAAGGAGGTAAATGTGTCCCTGGTGAGGGCGGGTGGAGGCGGCTCTCGCTGAGGTACCCGGGAGGAATCTGGTCGACGGTGTTTCTGGGTCTCCTGCTCTGGACTCTCCGCGTCCTCTGCTTGAGTCCCTGACCAAGGGATGCTGGCCACTGGAGCTGTCAGCCCATGTCGTGGTAGCAGCTGAAAGTACCACTTAGCTTTGTCTGGGTAACAGATCACCCCAAATTCTAGTGACTTAACACAATAACCTTGCACTTCGCTCATGATTCTGGGAGTCAGCCATTTCTGCTGCCCCCTGCTGGGCAGTGGAGGGGCTGGCTGAGTGAGTTAGGGTGCCTTAGCTCTCCTCGGGGTGTCTCATCCTTCCTCAAGGCAGCCTGGTGCATTCACCTGGAGGGCTAGGGGTTCAAGAGCAGGATCCCTTGAGTCCAAGGCTCACAACTGGCCCTGTGTCATCTCTGCGACTTTCTTTTCTTTAGAGCAAGTCCCAAGCTCAGCTCAGATTCAGGGGTGACCTGAATAAAATAGGCCTCACCTTTTTTTTTTTTTTTTTTTTGAGAAATACAAATTAAATATTTTATTATTTTATATATTTTTATATTATTCTTCATTAAAAAAAGTTTTTAAGGATTTATTTATTTATGCATACAGAGCTGGGGTACAGGCCAGAGGTGCAGGGCCAATGAGAGGATTCACCAAAGACAGAGTAGGGAGCAGAACAGGCAGATCGACGAAGTACACTGCTGAGGGGAGCAGCGGGCAGGTCAGGAGAGGTCTGCTGTGCCATGTGGTCACCTCCGGGGCAGGCGGGGATCGAACTCATGCTGAGTGGCTTTAGCTTCTTCATGCTGTGCTTTCACCTGCTGCACCATCAGGGAGGGCCCCTATTCTCATTTTTATACAGTGGATACTTCATCCTCTTGAGTGTGATCCCCGTGAAAGCCCCCCACCCTTTTCCCCCCCGTGCACCATCACCATAGTCCCTTGTGTTCTTCCCACCCGTTTTGACCCCCCCCCCCATAGCGTGTCTCTGGTTTATAGTTTAGGCCTCACCTCCTGATAGAAAGAACTAGAAAATGTTGTGACCATCCTTGAAGCCCACCTGGTCAGTGTCGCACCTGAGGGCTGGGACTAAGGGGGGGATGACACACACCCCCTTGACCTGAGGATGTGTGTGCTCGTATAGCCGGAAGGGATGTACATGTGATCACCCCACATGTGACGTGTGCCAGTGCAGTAAGAGAGGGACGAAGCAAATGGAATTTCACTACAGAAAAGGGATTGCCTAACTCCACCAGTGGTGGCAGGAAAGCTGACATGCAGGTCTCCTCTTGAAGGGTGGGTCCATTTTCCACCAAGTAAACAGCATGGTCAAGGTCAGAGAGACATGACTATGTTGCCAGGTTGCTGAGCCCGAGGGGGGACGTGATAGCGAGGACCCGTAGGTTTCCGCAGGGCCCTATGGGCAAATCTCAAACTCCTGCAGTTTAAACAGGTGTCTCATTTGGTGGCAGATGGGTCCAGGCGTGTAACGGCTCGTGGGTCATCATCAATATCCACTGGACCTGAAATTCATCAACAGTATATCCTGACGCCCTTAACTGAACGGGACTGTCTCAAGCTCAGGGGGGCCAGGGGCTCAAAAGTGGCCACAAGACAGTCTTTCTCTTCCTATCTCAGGGCTCCACCGCCTCTGTGTTCTCACACCCTCACACCCTCCCTCTCTGAGTTGGCAGGTGGGGATCTCACACTTCACTCCGACTTCTGACCTCTCTCCTAGAGGGGGGTGGTCTCCCCTCTAGGCTGGAGCTACGCAGGTTTTCGTATTTAGTCAGCCTACCTGGGATGAGGCTGGAAGGTATCTTACGCACTTTGATGCTGCAGAGATCTCATGGCAGCCCCAGGAGGCCCCCGGAGGCCCAACTCTGGTGGAGTTCCTACTCTTTCTTGGCGGAGACTTCTCCGGAGGCAGGGCCGTGGGCTGGTCTCCGCCAGTCATCCCGAAGCCCTTGGACCGAGGAGCCACCACAGGGGACGCATGGACGGAAGCAGGCTCCTGATCGCTCATATAGGACCAAGGGTGGGGAGCAGCCCCCCTAAGCCAAAATGAATCCTTTACAGGTAGTAAGGCCTTTGGCCACAGAATAACAGCATCCCGATTACCCACACTAAGAACTTTGATGGGAAGCCAGGAAGCAGGGTGGTGGGGAACTGTTGAGATCTGCTCCCCTCCCCTTCTCTCCCTGGCAACAGGGCGGCCCTAATTGCCGCTTTCCAGTTACTCCCGTCATGCTCAGCGCGAGAGCCTGTCAGATCACTCTTCTGAAAAGTGCTTGAAGTGCGAGAGAACGGAGAGAGGGGTTGTTTATCACAACACCCAAGTTTTACCCTGAAAGATATTGTTTCAGGCCCTCTAGAAAAAGAGAGAGAGAGAGAGAGAGAGAGAAAGACAGAGAGAGAGAGAGAGAATATATTGACTCTCTTAACAGGGCTTTTGTTTGCTTAGAAAAACTAGAGAAAGAAACTAATAGCAAGCTGCCAGCACACTCATCCTGATGTATGATAACATGCCTTTTCCACCCACCTCCTCTCCCTGCGGCCCTCCCCCTCTTCTGTGAAATCTGCATTTCCTGACACTCTGCGCCTGACACAGGATGCCAGGTGTACATCAGCTCTGTCACCATCAACAGCAAGGGGAAGACAGGTTGGTTAGGACCTTTAGGACGGGGCTCGGGTCCTGTTCCTTGAGTGCCAAGGTTGCACGGGCCAGCTCATGCCTGGCACATGCGGTTTCCAATGGCCTGGGCTGGGCACTTCTCTTTGTGGCCACTGGCTAAGCTGGCCAAGGGTGGGTTGTCCATGAAAGCTGTTGTCCATGAGTTGGCCAGGCCAAATGCAGCCCAAAGTTGTGTTCTACCCAATCCAAACCCTACTAACAGCCAGGGATGAGGACAGTGTGTGAGGAGCCCAGCTCTCACCCCAGGGGCATTCCCTGTGCCCTGCGCTTGAGCAGCCCCAGGGATACCTCAACTCTCAAATCCTCGTGACAGACAAGACAGGCACAGACCAGAGAATGGCAGACATCAGAGGATGCTCAGATAAAGGCCTGGGGTGTCTGAGGAGGAGGAGAAGACTTCCTGGAAGAGGCGGCTTGACCCTGGCTTTGGAAGGGCTGTCTTTGGTGGTTGGTTTGAAGTCGGTAGACACTTTTGGTTTAGCTGGTAAAGTTATTTTCAGCCTCCTCTCTAACAAGTATTCATGGTTCCTGCCTGCAGAGATTATGTAGTGTTCATGGCCGCTGGTCATGAATTATTAATGATTTTGAAATTGTGGTCATTGTAGTTTACTCAAAAATCATTAGGAAGTAAATTTATCATACAGTGTTAAAAATAAATAAAAAGGGAAGTCAGAGGAGGACCGCGTCTTTATTCGTGACCCTCCCAACATCCACACTGTGCCCATGTGCAGTGGGCCTCCCGGGCAGGCCGCTGGGGCCAGGTCCTGCTACCGCAGAGGCCCCATAGTGGCCTGAGACGTGTATTTCTGCCTCAAATCCCAGTTACGTGACTTTGGACGAGTGCCTGGGCCCTTTCACCTCGTTTGGTAATCCCCACTTTGGCCATGTGGTGCCGGCAATAAAGGCCGTAGTAACCCAGGGTGCCAAGCCTGCTGCCAACCCACGGCATGCACTGTGTGGACGGAGACTGTGCCATCACTTCATCACTCCGTGGTGTCTCATATTTAACAGGGAGATTCAGGCCCTTGGCCTGAGGTAGCACGACCGCACTTCTCACGGAAGGGGTCTCCCTTGCTCCAGGGGACCTCAGCCAGCCTTCCAGTCGCCTGGCTGAGTGCCCCTGGGCAGGCTCACGGGTGTGGGGTGGGGGAGGGCGCAGGGAAGCACTCTGCGCCTCCTGTGATAATGGATTGCCTTCTTTTGCAGCTGATTGAAGATTCTAAAAAATGCTCTTAAAAGCACACTCATCTGCTGAGCTCACTTTGTAAAGGGCTGCAAAAGTCATTTAACTTAACCACCTAGAAAACGTTAAGCCTTGCCTTCGCCTGCATGCTTTAGCTGCTCACAGCACACGTTGGTGTGCACGCCCAGGCACACACCGGTGAATACTCCTGCTGTCCAGTAGAACCTTTGGTGCACGGACTAGTGACTCGCCGTCTTTTGCCAAGCAAAGGGGGAGCCTAAGATCTTAAGGGAGCACGGCTAAGGAGGGAGCCCAGGATCCAGCTGCTGCTCCCGGGGGAGGGTCCTGTACACTGCGGGCCGCCGCCACCCTTTGGTCATCACTGTCTTGATGCTTCTCTCTGCCAGCTGTTCCAGAGAGCCTGATTGACCTGACGACTAAACAGAAAAGGGCGTTTAGGGGTACAGTGCTCCTGGCATCAGCTCCCCAGCTGCCCTCCCAAGCAGCAGCCCCTGTAATCAGTTGCTTGTATGCCCTTCCAGAAGTATTCTGTGCAGAGCAGATACATCCTTCTCTGCTCCTGGCCCCACCTCCCTTTTGTTCACACAATGATAGCGTGCAACACCCAGTGTTTCGTTCCTGCATTTTGTTTTCTTCACTTAGCAATTTGCCTTGGGGAGCACCCCATGGCTTGCGTGAGAAAGGAGGAGCATTTTATTCCAGGCCCCCTCGTGGGGTGCTGTGCAGATTCAAGTGTGGCTGCGGCCCCCACCGCTGGGTCCCTCAGTGACCACCCGACAGCTCCCTAGTCCACCCTTTTTGGCAAGAAGTGAGCGCAGGGTAGTGGTCCTGGAAAAGAAGTGGGGGTGTGCCCAGCACCTGGATTTCTGAAAGCCATCTCTCTCAGGCCTTTTTCCCAGGGCACATGTCCTGGCTAGTTGCAGGAGTCCAGTGGAACAGGTGGTTCTTCCTGACAGTTTCAGACTCCACCAGCGTGCAGACAGTAGACCCTTCCTGCTGTGAAATCTTTCAACTTTTCGACCATCTGGGGACCCAGGAGCAACCCCTTCCGTGTTTACTAACCTCA